CCAAGACCGAGAAGCACAAGTATAATTACCATACTTAGCTTAATGATACCCAATTTTGTTTATCAATAATCCCATCTGAACATGTAATACCTTGAAAGCTCGACGTGACGATACTACCCTCCTATTATCACTTAGTATACACGAGTTGTATATACTGAGAAATCATATAGTTAGTATATACTGAGAAATCATATAGTTAGTATATACCGAGATCGAATAGACAGTTGAATGGGTGAATCTGCCCTAAGCCGAACAGAAAATGAGGCGGAAGTCACACATTCCACTGTCTATCGGACTTCAATTTTATCTAACCCTATTGTATATACTGAGAAATCATATAGTTAGTATTTCTTGGGAAAGTTTAGGAAAAGTATATCTTTATGTAAATAATTAGTTAATACTATTGTGAATATTCATTATAACCATACTAATACAAAGTTAGTCCCGTATAGATCTATACACCAACTCGCGCTCTCCCTTAAGAAGACTCTGGTTATAATTAAGATTCGAGCGGGTACCCTGAGTGGTACATCTAGTGGTTCACAATCATGTATTAATTATTTACATAAAATGTAAAACTTTTTTATAATTAACAAGTAATTTTGTAAAAAGATTTCCTTTTTGTTTCATAAACCATGTTTATAAGTTCATTTCCATGTTTTAACCTGAAATTTTATAAAATAGTTCCTATGATCCATAAACCGTACCTATTACAGTTTATAAGTTGATTTCTATGATTTTAACAAGTTTCAAGTTCAAATGCGTTAAACAGTAAGAAAACATAATAAGTAAATTATGTTTTTAAACACAAGCAATCTTGTGTTTTACTTGTATTCCCCCCCTTAAAACATTAAAAAGCTTGGAAAATATGGGGGTATGAACTCACCTTATTTGAGGGATTCTATAGAAGATTTGGTATATATTGGTAAGTTTCCCGAGTGAGATCCCGAAGCATAAACGAGTCCTATTTAGTATATTATAACACATATATGTATATAGTTAGTGAATATAACTACAAAGGTGTTTAGGAAACAACCTAGGATGCTAGAATATCTCACCAAAGAAGTGTTAGAAACAAGTTTGAAGGCTGCAATGGAGTTTACGACCACCTGAAGGTGTTTACGGCCAGGTGAAGGTGCTTACGGCCCAAGAACAGCTTGTGTTCTTGAGTTTACGGCCAACTGTTCTTGAAGGATGATGAAGATTTAAGTGTTTTAGGCTGGAGATTTGTGTGTGTTCTTGGTGTTTTTGAAGGAATGAAGAATACCTTGATGATCCAAACAATAATCTAAGAAGATTTGAAGGTTTGGAAGATGATACTTGAGAGAGAATTGGTTGAGATCTTGAGTGAAAGTGAAGAAATGAAGTGAAAATCAGCTGAATTATATATATATATATATATATATATATATATATATATATATATATATGCGAGGGTTCACGACCGAGGGGTTTACGCTCCGGAGTCGGCAATTGGTTCACGGCCGAAACCACATTTACGGTTGAAGCTTCGTTTACGGTTGGAGCTTCGTTTACGGTTGAAGCTTCGTTCACGGTAGTAAACCGAGGGTTCACGGTCCAAAGTTGTTTGCGACCATGCGAAGCTTCTCAATTTCTTTTGCTTTTCTCTTCCAAACTATAACACACTTAGTTATCTAGGCTTCAATACTTATAACCCATCTAATATTAAGAATCATGGAAGGAATAAGTTTGACCAAAGATAAATTTTACAAGAATAAAATTTTCGGGTTGTCATAGCCTTGAAATCAAGAAAAATCTTATATAAACAAAATCAATACCTGAGAATCGGGGCGTTACATTATTGATATATTATAAGAATAATATTTTAAAAGAGAAAAACATATTTATTTAATTAACATTGGTCAAGAATTAATTAAGAATTAATTTTGTGGTCAAAATAGGTTAATTGAATTAAGGGGACTGAACTTGTAATTATGTGATAGTTGCAAAGTTGGGTAAGGAAACCCTAGTGTATAGGGTGGACGAATTCTAAGGATAAAGCCTTAGGAATTCGTCCAAAAGAGGGATTCTAGAATTATCTTTGGGCTGCTTGGTGGCTAAGTAACCAGATAAGGATAAGGACTGAAACCCTAATTCCACACCTATAAAATGACCCCTTGGCATAGGAATTCGGCTAACACTTGAACCCTAGAAGTCTTGCAGCCGAAATTCCCTTCTCCCCTCTCTCTCTCTCGCTTCATCCAATTGCTTTTGGTGTTTGTGATTCATTAGAGGCACAACATTTGGGGTGCTAAGGTTCTCAAAGCTTCAAGATCTACAATTAACAATCAAGGTATTCATCTAACTTGTTTATTTGATATTCAATAGTTTTTGTTGTATGCTAGTTTAGGGTTTACAAGCTTTGGATTAATTTGCATGTACAATAGAGAAACCTAGATCCAAAGCTTTACGGTTTTGCATGTGCACATAGGAATGTTCTTTTGCTCAAAACCATCACAATTAACTTTCCTTCAATTAACTCTTTTGCCCATTTTTTCCCTCCTATATTGGCCAATAGACACATCACATCTAAATGTCTGTTTAATATCACTTATCATCTCCCTAAGCTTAATATTTGGCTTGTTTGCAATCTTACTCATGTAATGTCTCCCAATCCATTCAGGAGACATAATTGAACCAAACGTGAATGACCTAGAGCATTTGTGGATCCTAGTCATAGTTTTGATTTGTAATGACATTTACTTGTACATCCAAGCAACATGCAACCTGAAAGGGCATTGGTTGTCTTCATTTCTTTTCCCACATTTTGCAACAATTTTAACACTATCACACTTGACAAAATATATTTGATACCCATGGTACACAACATAGTTTGCAACACAAAATTTAAGTTGCTCAGCGGATTCAAATATATCAACAAGTTTTGGTTCCATCTTGTCCCATATTGGGATCATGAACCATATACTTAGGTTGTAATTTTTCCTCATCATCTTTATCATTTTCCCAATCATTTTCGTGATATACTCGTGCTCTCATTTCATTAGACATACTTGCATTACGTAGATTAGCATCATTAAGTAATACATTCAAGAAATTATCCTTACACTTATCTAGTGTGGTGACGAACTCATCATCTGGTTCATGGTCCATGTAAATACCATGAGTTCAAAGTCCATCTCGTTCAACCCAACAAAAGGTTTGTTCAATGCAACAAATGAGTCGTTCCATTCTTCCTCTAATGAAGCCATTACATAACGTCATTTCAACTAAGAAATCAAAGGAAAAAAAATTAAAATTTAGTCTAAAACTGTAAATACCTTACTTGAGATGATCGTCTTCTTTACTCGACTTACACTATCAACACTGATTATCGTCTTCTTCTTTAATCGAGCTTCTGATAACAATCAAAACCCTAAAAAGCTTTGAAAATGGAGAGAAATATGGGCGACGATGATGATCTTTCTTGAGAAATGCAGCAGACGTCTGTTTTGATGTAAAAGTGATGGATATTTGTGTTCTCAATGTCTAACCGCAATGAAACGGAAAAAACAGAGAAGATAACAAGATTTAATGAGAGGGTGTCCCCATATGTTACTAGATGACCTACTAAACCTTTGACGAAAAGAGCCCACATGTTGGACATTAACGCACCAAAATTCGTCGTAGGGTCTAAACCGAACAAATTTTGTAAACTTAGGGACTTTCGTGTCAAAAGCCCTTAAAAAAAACACGAGTGATAAGTTTTTTTTTTGAGAAAATGACAAAAATAGCCAATTATCCTAATCACTTTGCGGAAAATAGCCAAAAAAAATCGAAATTGCAAAAATGGCCACGAAAATCGCAGATGTGAATGGTCCATCCGCGATTTGCACATTCCATCTGCGAATGTACAAGTGGCTAAAGCACAAGTGTGCTTTATGTACATTCGCAGGTGGATTAATTTTTTTAATTTTTTTTTCTATATATATAGGGCATTTCAGGCTAAAATCGCAGATGGACTGTGTCCATCTGGGATTTTCTTTGTATTCCATCTGCGATTTTCAGGCTTTAATTTGTTTTTTAGTTTGACTATGAAATCAATTGGTTTGACTACGAAATAATGTTACTATATATAAACTGTTGTAGAAAGTTATCAGTTTAGTTGTTATTTGTTTAGGAAATTTCTCTAAACTCTCTAAAAAATGATTGAATATTTGGTTTGTCTTGTAACCGGTGGGAGATGGCAAGTTATTGAAACAAATCTGGAATACGTATGTCCACATGGAGGTATTTCTGAATTCGCTTTGATATTTTCTGAGTATATTAGTTATAGTGATTTTGTATCTATGGTGAGAAGCAAAACTGGTTTGTTAGACAAATATAGAATTAGTCTTCGTTTCTATCATCCTGAATTGAATTATTATATAGCTATAGTTGAAGACATGGATGTTAGAATGTTGATAAATGTAATCAAATGTAGTGGAGGAAGGGTTGTCAAAGTGTTTGTGGTGGTTGATGAAGGAGATGAGGTTAATGAGGTTGGTCACAGTGGAAATCAGCCGGTTGGTAATTTATGCAGCTATAAAGGGAACAACGATCCGATTGGTACTTTCAATACTCCAAGTGTACCTCAGTTTCACAGTGTTGCTGAAAATGTTAATGTTAGTTACTCACCTATTAACTATGTGGATCCTGAGAATTACAAGTATGTTGGTGATGATGATGTTGGTACATATCTTAATGATGTGGGTGGTCGTTGTGATGATGTTGCCGAACAAGAAGTTAAAGTTATGAATAGGCGTGTAGTAGATAAAAGTAAAATGAAAAAAAATTCGAGTCAAAAAAATGAAAAAAAGCATGTTTACGGGGATTATGTTGATGTTGCTGATGTACGTTTAGATAGAACCGACTTACAAAGCAATTCAGATAGAGATGAGTTGGGTGATGAAGTTAAAGCTAAGTTTCCTGATAACCTTTTTTACGGTATGCCCCCTGTACCAGCATGCCCAGTTGATATTAATGAAGATATCCCAACACAGATGGTAGACATGAATCTTCAAAAGATTGAATGTGAGGGTATATTTAAGAACAAAGAACTTTTAAAGCGGTGTATTGGTAAAAAATGTCTTCGAGAAGGTTTTCAGACGAGGACAAGTAGATCCACCAAATCAAGGTATGAGGCTGTGTGTGTTTCGAAAAATTGTTCTTGGTTACTAAGAGCAAAAGCAATTAAAAATTCTGATGGACTTTTCCAAGTGAATAAATTTGTTGATGTATACACATGTTCTTCAACAATTTTGCAACCTAATCATCGACAAGCAAACAAATATGTTTTTGGTGAATATCTTGCTGATGTTTTGGCTGAAGATTATAGTAGAGTTTACCGAGGAAAAGATATTATTAATGATATGAATGCTCAATTGAATATCAATATCTCATACCATCAGGCATGGCGTGCGAAGCAATATGCATTGTTGTTGTTAAGGGGTACGAAAGAGGATAGTTTTACCAAACTTCCGGCTTATTGTCACAATTTGGTCAAACATAATCCGGGTACGGTGACACATATTAAAACAGATGGTGATGATCACTTTGAGTTTTTGTACGTCGCACTTGGTTGCTCGGTTAGTATTATAAAATTTTATTAATTTTTTCGTTTTTATTTTGGTGTATTTGAATAGATATACAATGTATTGTTGGTACGCGCTTTTGTCATATTTTGTAAACCGACCCTAGTAGTAGATGGAGCCCACCTAAAGGGCGAGTTCAAAGGTACCATGTTACTTGCAGTTACTAAGGACGGACAAAACCAAATATTACCGGTTGCATATGGTATATGCAAAAATAAGTGTACCGATTCTTGGACATGGTTTTTTCAAAAACTACGTGATTGCATAGGAAATATGCAGGAGCTTACAATTATATCTGATAGGTCGCCATCTATAGCAACATCCGTTGCCAACATTTTTCCTCACGCTCATCACAGAATATGTGGTGTCCATTTGTATTTCAACATAGTATCTAGATTCAGGAAGAGTAACACAGTTAAAGGAATTTTTTGGGAGGCTTGTAGGGCGTACACAGTTGATGCTTTTGACGCTGCCATGGATGTTATGAAAAAGACAAAAGAACCAGTATGGGAGTACTTAAAAAGTATAAATCCAGAGACTTGGTCAAGGGCACATTTTAAAGGGAACTGATACAATCTTATGTCGTCCAACAGTGCGGAGTCTATAAATGCATTATCTAGACACGCACGTAAGGTGCCGATACTTATGTTGATCGATTTTTTTCGTGCAACAATGCAACAGTGGTGGTTTCAAAGACGTAACTTTGCAGGTATTAAGTTAATTTTTAATATTAATTTTTTATAAATTTAATTTTATTGATCTTAACTTCTTCATTTTGCCTGTTTTTTTAGCGGAAGCAACAACAATACTTACCCCTTGGGCCGATGATATTGTAAAAGAAAACAAAAAAACTTTTAGTAAGTGGGATGTTCGCATGATCTCAAATACGAAATGCGAGGTCAAAAAGGAGGCACAAAACGTGATTGTTGATTTCCAACATATGACATGTACATGTAAGCATTGGCAACTTGATGGGATACCTTGTGGTCATGTCATAAGATGTTTAACAGTGAACAATTACCAAGACTGCTCGAGGTATGCATTAAATGTTTACTTTACCGAAACACTGAGGAAAACGTATGAGGAATCAATAAACCCTTTGCCAAAGCCATCCGAATGGGATATCCTCGATGATTTGATGATTGTTAAGCCACCTATAATGGATAAACGTCAGCCAGGCAGGCCAAGAAACACATACCACATTCCATCCCAAGGTGAGGGTCCAATTAGAAAAGAGTGTTCTACATGTGGTCAAGTAGGACACACGAGAAACAATTGTACTGGAAGGGCGTCCGGTAGTGGAGCACGTCGCACAATTTCTACTGCAGAAATGACATTTAATATTGGTGGTTCAACGAGTTGCTCACAAACCTATGACGCTGATTTTGATATAAAACAACCTTGAAATGAAGAGTTGTTAACTTATTATGTATTGTAATTTTTTTATTAAATCCTACAAGACTTTGCTATGCTTTCATATTTTAGTTTAGTTTGTAGATTATAACAATTAATGAAGCTTTTATATTATAAAATTTAGTTTGCAGATTATAACAATTACTAGATGTTATTTAAAAAAACAACAACAAACGATCCTTTTGCAACCAAAGGTGTATCATGATAATATTACAACAATTTTGTAACTAATTATAAAACTCAGGGAACTGCAATGGGTACTTCTCTTTCTCCATTGTTATATAGTCATCCATAATTCTCATTTTGTCTTCCAAACGATCCTTTTGCACCATAATGTGTATCAACTGCTCGTCCTTCTCAGCAAGCCATTTTTCAGTCGTTTTGATTGCCTTCTTAGTCTTTTTTATCCATTCTTCATGCTCTTTGATTTTGTTTTTATTGAGGTCTATCCATTCTTGAGCTTGTTTGCATTCCGATGCAATATCATTACCACGTTGAGTGAGAAGTCGGGATGACTCTTTGTCCTCTTCTTGTTGTTCTTCAGCCTTATTCAATTCTTCAAAATTTTCATCTGACATATATGGCCCGGCTGAAGAGGGTGTAAAAAAAGGGTCGACTGAATCACAGTAGTAACAATCTACTTCGTTGCATGAGCAAACTTCGAATTTGTGTGAGGAACTCATAATAAAGTCGACATTATAATAAACTGGTGCTATAAGTGGTATTTATACATACTAGTCTTAATGCTACCATTTTGTAGTCAGTGTTCTAATTCATAGTCCAAGTTTGAAATGACTAGACATTAATGACAAGTCACTGTAGCAACCTGCAAATCGTAGTCAAACTCTGAAGGGAGAAGACGTAAATGACTTTTCGACATGATAATTCACTGCAATAACCTGCAAATCGTAGTCAAACTCTTAAGTGACAAGACATAAATGACTCTTTGACATGATAAGTCACTGCAGAAACCTGCAAATCGTAGTCCAAATGCAACCATTTCGTAGTCAAAGTTGTAATGCATAGTCCTGTATTTATTAATATAAAAAGATGTTTAAGATCTAAAAACCAAACACCCAAATCACCTAAACGAAACGAACTCCCATATTTAGAAATGTCGTCGAATGCAGCAAGTTCTTCGAATGAAGTACCTGGTTCCAATTCTGAAAGGCCATGGACGACAAACGAGGTGTTGGTTCTTACACGATGTTGGCTAAGTGTTAAGGATGGTGTATCGTTACTTGCTCCCCCGTATTGCCTAGTAGGTGATGAATGGACTCGCATAACAACTTTGTTCAACCATGACATGGGAGAAGGACAACAACGAGAACAATCAGATGTTGTTACTAAATGGATGGATGTAAAGGAAGAAGTGACATGGTTCAATCGAGCGTGTAATTATGCGAAAAGTACCAAACTTCGTTGTCGGGACGAGGTGTTGGTTCTTACACTCTACGCAGTCTCTACTTGTACATTCATACAACCACTAACAAAATAGCATTTAAACTTGAAGTTTAGTAATAACAAATATTAAAACTATCAACCCGGTTACAACAAAATTACCCTATCACAAACAATATAATTTTTTTTACACTAACTAATACAATAAATAATAAAATAATAAAGACATATACTAAATAAATGTTAATTAAAATATAAAAGAGTTGAAATCTAACAATATTTTCGGGATTGTTGAAGTAATCGTCCATTTTCTTCAAAAAATCGTCAAAAGGAATCCCCGAGAGAGAGAGTTTTTCTATATTGAAGAGTGAAAAATGAGGAAAAAAAAATCCTTTTTATAGAAAATGGCCACGAAAATCGCAGGTGAACAGTACAAATCGCAGATGGACTTTTCCATCTGCGAATGTACAAGTACCTAAAGCACAACTATGCTTTAGGTACTTGTACATTCGCAGATGGAATGTGCAAATCGCAGATGAACCTTTTCCATCTGCGATTTTCGTGGCCATTTTTGCAATTTCAATTTATTTTGGCTATTTTCCGCAAAGTGATTAGGATAATTGGCTATTTTTGTCATTTTCTCTCTTTTTTTTTTTTTTTTTTTTTTTTTTTTTAAACGGCGATAAGTTTATGTATTTTTGTGATTGTGTTTTACTTGCGAAGATAAATAGCAAAAGCGTTTGATTAGCGAGGGTCATTTGAAAATTGGTACTTGTATTCAACTTCTTGAATCCACATTGAGCTCCCGCCACTTGCCAACATTCCTTCGCCCCTCGCCGTTTTTCAAACAATTCAGTTCACAGTCGTTGTCGATTGTACGATTAACAAGTCTCCGCTGGTTCATATGAGGTGCGTAAAACGTTCAATGATGCACAAAACATACGAATGAATCCCTGTTTTATATGGATCTGATGTACTCAATTTACAGTTCAATTCATATTTTTTGTTCAATTTTACATACAAATGCCAGTTCTAGGTCAAGCAATCGTTTGATTTGGGGAATTCGAAACCTTACTTTATTTTGATTCGATCTGATGACGAACTTTATAGTTTGCTGTTCGTTGGATAATGCTAATGCTTGCTGTTCTTATCGTATGAATCAACCTCGTTGCGAACTTTTTGAGCGATTGCTGATAATTCCCTCCTTTCTTCTGTGTAATTCATTCAGATTGTGGTTGGTATCTAAAGGTTCTAAAATAATCAATAGAGATGTATGTCCGAATATTAATTTTGAAACCCTAATTTATATAATTATGTTACTGCTCATTCTATGTGTATATATGTGATGCACATAGAGATTCAAAGCTTGGCAAGGAATTGTAAAGCCCTCTTGACAGAGAAAATATTGATTTCATGATACATACATATGTTTTCTTTTCTACTTAAAATCAAATGGTGGAAAGAGATAGAGAAGGAGGGTAATGCAACAATTGATAAGAAAATCTCATCTGTTATTGTATGAAGTTGTGTAAACTATACTTCCTTTATGTAAAAAGGGACCACTTTCTAAAAAAATAGTTGTTGCTCACTAACATAAAAGTTTTGATATATATCAAAATACCTAAGTATGTTTCGTTAAGTTCTAGGCATAAAGATGCACTAACCTATGTTGGGCAACCTTAAATGCCAAAACCCTAATGCTATTTAGTTATTTTGCCCCTAACTTGTGACTGATATTGTGAGTAGGAAAGAACATTACACCATTTAGAAAAAAATTCAAATTAGTTAAAACTTAGCAGAAGTTGCTTACACAGCAGATACCCAGTGAAATTAGATGGTTTATGACATATAGGTGAACTGAGTTCTCAGCTCAACCAAGTAGTGGGGTGGGATGAAGCAGTGGAACTTGATCAATAAACAGAATGTACATTATTGTGATTTTTTTCAACATAATTATACATCATAATATGAGATTTCTTTTTATTGAATAGGCAACTTACATATTGACTCTTATCAAGCTTTTTTTTTGGTAATAGCATATATGCACTATTCAGTTTTTGATATTTTCATCTATGACTATATCCTATGACCTTTTCACTTTACGTTATCTTGATATCTGAATGTTTTTCAGCATGTGGACATTTATTATATGTATACATATACTCATGTATCATCTACAAAATTTATAAAGTTTTTAAAGATTTCACATAGTCAATAAATCTGATGTTTCAGTACAATTAGAAATCCTTACTATCAAGTATCAAGTAGTAGAGCAATATAGAGCATAGACTCTCAACCTTCCTTTTTGTGGCCATCTTTTACTAAATCCATTTATAAATAAAAATTATTTTTTATTTATGATAATGACAAGACAAAACAAAACAAGTTGTACCGAGTTTGACTGAGACCGGGACTGTTGTCATTTGGACAATAAAACACAATTTTTTTCCCACCTTTAGGTAAAACAAGGCGGGACAGGGTATTGTCTGTACAAAAGACATAAATGCCCTCCTCGTCCTCAACTCCTCATAATTGAATACATAAGCTTTATATGTTGATAATAAAGCTTGGGTATCAGGATGATGAATTTACCACTTTCTAATTTCTATTTACAGCAAAACAAAGTTGCCATGAAACCAACCCTGCAGAGAAAAGGAAGTATATCACAAGCAGGAAAGCTCGTTGGTGGGACAAATAAAGTGAAAAAGGGCACAAACAGACAAAAAAAGTCTACACATAAAGCATCAGGTCAGTTACCTTCTATAACTTTATTCTTGAAATCTTGATTAATGATGTTGTACTTTTAGCTTATAATGCTTTGTATATTGATTATTGCATTAGAATCAATATTAGGCATCTTACTACAATTTGTCTATTTTCTTTCACTTTACTATGTTAGTTTTCTTGATAGTGTTAGATGCAAGAAATAGCAATGAACTTTCATTGTTCTTTTTTTTTTTAATATAAAATTTCTACTTTCATCTCATCGTTTTATAACATTGTAATTTGAAAATCCACCCGATTTTAGCAAATTCCATTAAAATACAAAATAATTTTCACCTGAGTAGATTTTTCAATGTATAATATTCAAACCAATGAAAGTACACTGCTATTTGTTCATAATATGAGTATGTGTTTAACCTTTTAGTACTGATACAGAAGTACTCAGTCAGCAGCTTTCAGTAAGTGAAGCATCTACAAAAACTAGAAAAGAAGTAACAACATTGGAATTGAAGAGTGGAAAAGTTGTTGATCCTTCAACAAAAATTAAGCTGCAGCTTTTTCCAGTTGATGAAGTTACTCGAATAGGATTAGAGAAGGTGAGTTTAGGGTGTTTGATTTGCTGGAATTGGAATTCAATTCCATTCCATTACAGAACTGTATTCCATTCAACTTCACAAAATCCATGGATTTCAACTTTCCATCCTAAAATCCATGAAATTCCAAACATTTTCTTCTTGTTAAAAATATACAAATACCCTTCTTTTAAAAGTATATATTTTGAATGTTAATAATTTATTTTTGGGTTTTATGCAGAAAAGTCCCATTATTTTGGGAATTTTTTTTGATAAAGTCCTAATTTTTTTTTTGAACAGAAAAGTCCCGATTATTTAATATTTTGCCAAATTAATGAAAAGTCCTTATTTTTATTTTAACAGGAAATGACACATTATTGTGTAAAATTAAATAATCTGGACTTTTCTTTTCAAAAAAAATAATAATTTAGGACTTTATCAAAAATTTTCCCAAAATAATGAGATTTTTCTGCATAAAACCCTTTATTTTTAACTGAAGTTAGTTTTTAGAATAAATATTTTCAAAAAAATAGCATTTCCATCTTAATACGTATAATTTTTTTTCTTCTTCTAAGAAAGTTTATTGAGCAAGAAATACAAAAAGGCAATGTAATATTTTTTGCATGTATTGTATAAGTTAATTCCAATCACATATATTTATAACACAAATAAAGGGAAATTCTATCATTTGCCTATATTTGTTGTCCAAATTCTTGGACAGATTTAAAAGGATTGGAATTCAATTCCATTCCAAACGCATCCCAGATTTCAATTCCTTCAAATTCCAACTTCTTTACTAGATTTCATTTCTTTCCAAAACATTCTACAAACCAAATGCCAATTGAACTATTTATATTTATGTCAATAATACAAACATTTCTACAGGATGCTCTTAATCCATTCCTTGAACTGACACTAAGAGCTAGAAAGAAGATATCATCTGTTATCAACCACATCCATACAAAATGGGGTGCTTCAAGCATAGCCATAGGGGAACCCATGCTTTTACCTTATGAATCACACCTCAGACAACACACATCTGTTACTAGAAAATGGACATCAAAGGACACTTCTATTACTGCTGGAGATGTTTACACAGCTGTTGAAAGTCCTGCTGTATTCCGCTTAAGGTTTGACCTCAATTCCCTTTCCAGTGCTAGTGTCTCATATGTTGGAATTGGAATCGCTTATTCCATTGGAATAGAGAAAAGGCTATATTTGTTTTGCCTGATGGAATGGAATCGACTGTAATCAATCCATTTTGTTAATTTTCATTCCATCATGGTATGAAAATGATTTTTTTTTTTTTTGGTAATATAAGCTGATAATTTCAACACATTTGAACTTTATAGCTTTAAAAATAACTGAAAAAACAATGTTTCATTTTTTGTAGTTATGGCTGGTTCTCTGATGATGAGCCTTCAAGGATTTCTCCACATAATTGTGTAACATCTGAAACCATTCAGAAACAGATTGAGACTACAGAAGAAAAGAAGCTTCTAGAAGCAACAGCTGAAATAGATGATACTGAGCATGTGGTAAATATTCCTTTCTATCATCACCCTTCCCCTTTAGGCCCCATTTTTATGCTCTTGCTTGAGTTTTTGTCTTTGTAAAAGACGTGAATACCCTCCTCCTCATCTTTATAATGTGAATTAGCCCTAAAAAGCTTGTCCAATTAAATGTGTATTTATACAACAATGTTTCACCTTTTTTTTTTTTTTCTCTTGATTTTTTTTTGTGTGAACAGGATGCAAAAGTCAACATGGGTCAAAGCCATGAACGGTCAACATCACCATGGGATGATGAGTTGACCAATTTGAGCATAGGTGGACTTGTATCTGAACACTCAGTGCCTCAAAAGACTTCTCTAATCACCGATATAAGCATTGGTGGGCTTCTATCAGAAGCATCATTACAAGGAAAACTACAACCACAACCACAATTTAAATGGGATGATAGTTTAACTGCTTTAAGCATTGGTGGACTTTTATCAGAAGCATCTTTACAAGCCAAGATGAATAAATTTGACCCAAAATCATTCATTTCTGATTCTTTCGATGCCATCATCTCTTCACAACAAATGAAAAACGATCCTCAACCTCAACTCTCTATATTGGATGCTGAACAGACTTGTAATGCCTTTTCCTTCCGCAAATTCTCCTCATCTACCAAAAATGTTCGTGTCAGTGTTGCAAGAGCTACTCATGATTCTAATTCAAATTCCTTCAAATTCCCCGGTCTTCTAGAGGTTTCCTTTTTTTTTCTTCATTGACATCAGTTCCAATCCAATGCAAGCCAAACACTCTACAAGGCCGTGCATAATAAACGGCCTTGTCCTGTGTTTGGCGTACAAGGCCGTGCGTAATAAACGGCCTTGTACCGTGTTTGGCGTTTGGTCAGCGACAGGCGCCAAACACAATACAAAATTTACATTTTTTTTGTTCCGCCCAAAAAGGTGAGACAGAGACTCGCTTTCAATCTCTTGTATGTGCAAAAGATGGAAATGACCAAAATAGCCCTAGAAAGGTTGTGGAATCACCTGTGTGACATGAATTAATTATTTTTGTATATAGGGGGACAGACAAGCTGCGAATGCTGAAGATACTTCTGGTCCCCAACAATATAATGAAGACAGTAGAAGCCTTGGGTTAAGAGGCATAAACTGGGTATATGATTTTATTTATTACTATTCTTATTTTAATAGATGATGTCATGTCATAATACCACCCATATAGCATTTTTAGCTAATCTTGTGATTTTACTTTATTGGTACAGAATGAGTCTTTAGGTCCCTTTGATCTTGGCAACTCAATGCCATGGAAGATTTGACTGAGAGTCATATGGATAGCCAGCAAAAAGTTGCATCAAATTTAGGTAAATTTAAAATGTATAAAATTGATTCATGGGACTTTTATACAACTTTCTTAGAATCATTTTGGAGTGGATTTCTATAAGTTTTTAGTTTTTTAGTAGATGTTATTTTGGACTACAATACTATCAAATCCTTTTTGATATAGAAATGGACTTAGAGAGTTTGGAAACACTAGTACTACTTCTAGTAGTGATTTCTTCTGATTATTCTTGCCAATTTTTACATTTCATATTTTATGGCGTATTTGGTTATCAAATAGATGAAATTCATTTTCAAATTTCATATGTGATGGATTCTTAGCACTTATGGTCTTGATCTAGATTGGGATTTATTCTCAACAATACTTGTATTATTGACTTTATTATTCTGATGTGGGTAGTACTTTATTAACAGAGTAAATTATGAAAGCAATTAAAATATCAAAATGTAGGTGTTTTATTGTTTGTATAACAATAATTATGTCAGCTTACTGATTTTATAAGCACGTAAACATTAAGATATACTTTGTGATTGGTTGGTAATAATGGTAGATAATACTTTTTTATTAACAAGGCAAGTTACAAAATCGAACAGATCGTGAGTAATTACAAAATCAAAACTGATGTTATCACTTTTTTATTATATTTATTGTCTTATTAATTTGAATTTATATGTTTCAAACTTTGCTGTATTAGATAATTGTTGGTAAAGTTTGAAGACACATGTTCGTAATTTGAAATTTTGTAATAGTTTAATGAAAGAAAAATCTCCGATTCGAAATGAGGGGATCCTTATTTTCCATTGAGGATGATGATAGTGTTGAATTTTTATTCCCTCGTTAGGATGTGGATAGAGATTGAGGTCTCTGGTAATTTGTTACTGTTAGCATGTGTGGGGAGGGTGGAAGAAGTGTAGTTTTATTCTATTTTTGTTAAAAAGGTTAAAATATTAGTATATTGATAAACTAACATCTGAAATTAAATTTAATAAAAGCAACTCATTTTTTGGTATATCGGCAAAAAAACCTACGCTTATTAGAACTGTTACCAACCCGTTTAGAAATAATTGATTACAAAATATGACGGTCAATATTGAAATGTTACTTGTTTTTTTCAATTTTACGGTGAGAAGCCAAAAAAGTGTAGTCTGGAATGTGAAGTCTTAATCCGGAATACGAATAACTACAATAGTCCGAAATGACATCGAATACTCAAAGCGGAAACCATAGAATGTTCTTTCAAGTCTTAGATACCTTTAAGACATAGTTTTATAGTGCAAGAAGCCAAAAAAAATGTAGTTTGAAATATGAAACACTAATCAAAAATACGAATAATGAGTCCGGAATGACACTGATTTTTCGAAGCAAAAACCATAAAATGCTCTTTTTAGCCTTATATAACTTTGCAAACTAGTAGTAGGGTGTTAATATGCTTATTCCCTTGTATTTAGCTGACCTTTCAATATGTTCAAAATGAGTTGTTTAATTCTGAAATACAACAAACTGTTTGGAACGCGATGAACAACGGATTAGCAGAACGTTGTACTCCAAAATGTTGTCGAAGATTACTGTTTTTTTAAAAGAAAAATAAAAGATTAAACTAACTTTTATTTCAACATGATGATATGTACGACACTTCTTTGAACATGTTTCGCAAACATAATCTTGGTGTAATTATTATTGGTAAGTTACAACAACGACTAACATACGAGACTCTAACTAACAATTGTGCTTTGATAGGTGGCTGGATATTCAAGCCGACATAAAAGAGAGACCCTTTGTTTATGCATTATGTGTACATATAACCAAATACATTACAATTTGCAAAATATAAACCTTAATTTATAACAAAATATAATACATTCCGAAACATTCCCTAAAATAATAAAATGAAAGATATAAATAAATGCATAAGGGTGGTCCAATTTTTTAAAAAAAAGTTAGGTACTAAACATGTACATTAACCCAAACCACAAGGACTATTCGTATAATTTACTCAAAATATTATTATTATAGATATTCTCATATTTGAAAACAGCAGGTACCGGTATTGAGGCGGATGGTGAGGATCTCAATTCTCAAACGGTTTCGGGATGATGACAGCTTTCTGTGCCCGCCAAATCCAAAGAAGAATTTGTTCCCTAGCACTCAAAACCCCCCTCGTAATCACAGCCCCAAATCCGATCCCAACGTCAATGGATTCCGTTTCTCGTCCTTTTCCCCATCAGCCGGCCTATCCATCATCAACCCATTGTCTTTTCCTTCGATTCTTCTATCCAATACTAACTTCACCCAAGTTAGTGTTCCCATTTTGCCAATCATCATCATTATCCTTGTCTTCTCACAATCTTGCCTTTACACGCCACCTAATTTCATAGCATTACTGTTTGTTCAGTAGGGGCATCAATGATGCCTTGAAGAAATCAGTGTTTAGTGTTCTTCACATACTCGGTACTCCAAAAAAATCCCACGTATGGGTTGCGTTCAGGGAAAGCCCTCACCAACTTATAATCGCCAACAGTCTCGTGGTGGTGGCGGCGGCCTCCATAAGTTGAAAGCTGATAATGGGTATGTTACAGGCGGAATTGGGGGAAAACCCAATGCTGCACAGAAACCGTTTGTTGAAATGCCTGTGAAGCAGAATAGTGTAAAGAAGAATAATAATCAAGTTGATGATGGTAATACGAGGAAGGAAGGAGGAGTTCAGAATGATATGATGATTAATCGAGAAGGAATTGGGAATGTTTCTCAAAGGATTGTTGTTGGTAAGAAGATTGGTTCAGATGATTTAATTGATGGATGGCCTAAATGGCTTGTTGATAATATTCCAAGAGAAGTTTTGGCTAATCTGGCATCTAAAACCGCTGATTCTTATGATAAGCTTGCTAAGGTAAGTACATAATCTTGACTAAATCGTTTCAAATATGTATTCTCTTCTTGATTCATGTTCATTATCAAAAAGTATCTTTTTGTTGTGATTGTAGATAGGCCATGGAACATATAGTAATGTCTATAAAGCTCGAGATAGAGACACAGGAAAGATAGTTGCTTTAAAGAAAGTTCGTTTTGACACATCAGAGCCAGAAAGTGTGAAGTTTATGGCAAGAGAAATTATCATTTTACAGAAACTAGATCATCCAAATATTATCAAACTTGAAGGTCTTGCAACATCTAGAATGCAATATAGTCTTTATCTAGTCTTTGAGTACATGCTATCAGACTTAACCAGAGTTATTTCTCGTCCAGAAGGAAGGTTAACAGAACCACAGGTCAACCTTTTAACACTTTCAGATCTTCAAACCCTTTTTAATGCAAGAAATAGCAACAAAATTTTTGTTTATGATACCTATTAAAACATTGTAATTTGAAAAATCTACCCATTTATAGCAATGTTATCCATATACAAAACAATTTTCATTTCTATAATTGGATATATATTTCAAACTAGTTGTGAGACCCGTGTAGTACACGGGTTGATTAAAAAAAGTTAAATATGAAGGTGTAAACATTAAGCTGTTTAAAGTGAAATTTTGAAATAAATACGATAGAAATGATGAATAAGTAAGTACTTTAATTTATACAAAAAAAAAAAAAATTATTGACATATTTTAAAGAATTGTCCTGAATCACAAATTTCTAAAGACTTTTCTGAATTTGGGAATTTTGAATTTATAAGGAAAGTGAGTCAATTACTGAATATTAGAAACTAAAAGACATTTCACCACATGTCATCTTGCGGTTATTTTCAATTAAATTTTTTCCACATGACATTTTATGGGTTTTTGCCTTTTATTATTTCCTTTGTTTATTGTTTACTAGGTGTGAGACACATGTATTACATGGGTTAATTTAAAAAAAAAGTTAAATATAAAAGTCAAAATATTTGAGAATTTTGAATTTATAAGAAAATAAGAAAAATAATGATTTATTATAATGAAAATGTTTTTTTATCTTTTAAATTTAAACAAATAATTTAAATAAAGAAAAAAAACTAATGGGCCTTAGTTTTGGGAGTTTTGAAATTAAAAGGTAAGTTTATTAGTGAAATTAATATTTATTACATTAAAATATTATGTAGAATTTAATAAAATAGAAAAACTCATAAAATGACATGTGGAAAAAAAATTAATTCAAAATAATCACAAAATGACATTTGGCAAATTGAATGAGAGTGTGACAAGTGGCAAAAAAAACCTTCATTTATTAGAGAGGATGTTAAAGTGAATCACTTATTGAATTTATAAGGGTTTAGGGTTTAGGGTTTTTTGAAATTAAAAGACATTTATCACATAAACAATAAACAAAGGAAATAATAAAAGGCAATAAACCCATAAAATGCATGTGGAAAAAATTTAATTGAAAATAACCAGAAAATGACATGTGCCAAAAAAGATTTTCATTTATTAGTATAGATAACAATATTGTAACAGGAAAAAAAAAATCGAAAGCACAATGCTATAAATGGTCAAAAGGATAACTTTCTTCAAAATAAACGCCTTAATACAAAAAAAGAGGAAAACCATAAAGCTGTAACATACAGAAAATGGAAGTAGTATCAGTATGTTGTTCTAATACAATATACATAAACAAATGGATGTTTGTTGCTATTTCTAATACATTCCCTAAGAACTTTTGTTACAGAATTTGATTTATTTTGTAAAAAAAAAACAGGTGAAGTGCTATATGCAGCAGTTGCTCTCTGGTCTTGAACACTGTCACGAAAGAGGGATTTTACACAGGGACATCAAAGGATCAAACTTGTTGATAGACAAAAATGGAAAGCTAAAAAATAGCCGATTTTGGGCTTGCAAATTACTACAATCCAAAACAAAAAAGACCTCTTACAAGTCGAGTTGTGACACTTTGGTATAGAGCACCTGAACTTCTCTTAGGCACTACAGATTATGGAGTTGGAATTGATCTTTGGAGCACTGGATGCCTATTGGCTGAAATGTTTGTTGGTAGGCCCATTATGCCAGGAAGAACAGAGGTTACTACTTAATACTACTTTTCTTTTTCACAAAAAATAAAAAAATATCCAAGTTTTATTCCTGAAAGTTTGGACTTAATGTTGAAAACTGTTTCCCTGACTTTATCTGTTAAGTCGTTCTTTTTGCTTAGCTTAACCTAAAATTTTTGACGATATGTTTATTCATTTTTCCGATTTGGATAAATGATGTTTTTTTTTTGGGTTAATCTTATGAAAAACCTTATATTTTGTGTTTTTTTACAGATTAAACCTCAATTTTATTTTTTTCATGAAAAAGACCTTTCATTTTTTTCGTTTTTTCCGGGGTTAATCTTAAAAAAGACCTTATATTTTGTGTGTGTGTGTGTGTGTGTTTTTCCGGATTAAACCTCAAATTCATTTTTGGCGTGAAAAAAACGTTGTATTTTTGTTTTTGAAAAAGCCCTCAACTTTGTATTTTTTTCTGAAAAAAACCATCAACCTTCTAAATGCTTCCAAACAAACCCTCAACCTTTTTAGTTTTTCTCGAAAAAACCCTCACGTTTTACAATTTTTTTTTTGGAAAAAAATGACTAAAAGGGCCAGATTAAAAAAATGATAAAATACAAGGTCTTTTTAAGGCAAAATAAATAAATTTGAGGTTTAATCCGTAAAAACACAAAATATAAGGTCTTTTTTGAGATTAACCCTTTTTTATGACTTGGCCCTTTTAGCCATTTTTTTTTTCCAAAACAAGTTGTAAAATATGAGGGTTTTTTTTTTCAGGAAAAACTAAAAAAGTTTAGGATTTTTTTGGACACATTTAGAAGGTTGAGGGTTTTTTTCGGAAAAAAATGAAAAAATATAAGGTCTTTTTCATAATAAAAATAAAGATAAGGTTTAATCTGGAAAAAAAACTCAAAATATAAGGTCTTTTATGAGATTAACCCTGAAAAATATTTGAGTTTGGAGAAAACGGAAGGAAAAAACAAATCGGGGCAAATTTGTAAAATTTTAGGACTTAACGAGGAAAGTCAGGGAAACCCTTTGTTTATTCAGGCGTTATTTCATATTAAGTACATAAGAAACACCCATATTCTACTTTGTCCTCATTAAGTCCATTAAGTCAAAAATAATTTTTTTTTTTTTTTTCTTTTTAAGTGCTATGCGGATGAAATGTTGTCTGAAAAATATATATTTTATAAAAGTTAATGTGAAAAGCCTCTTCTTCCTGGCTTTCTCTATTAAGTTGTTCTCTGTGCATTAAATAAAAAAGAAAGAATCACGTTCCCATTAAAGTCCAATAAATAAAAAAGAAACAGTAGGCTAAATACTTATGTTTGCAGGTTGAGCAGCTTCACAGGATCTTTAAGCTTTGTGGGTCCCCTCATGAAGACTACTGGAAAAAAATCAAGCCACCAACAACCTTCAGACCACCACAAAACTATGTTCCAAGTTTTCAAGAAGCTTTCACAAAATTTCCCTCTTCTTCTTTCGGCCTCTTGACCACACTTCTGGCTTTGGACCCCGAATCCCGTGGAACTTCCACTTCTGCCCTCCAAGACAATGTCAGTTTAAATAAACATATTTTGCTTTCACGTGGGTCCTGCTTGTTTATTTGATGTGATTGTGGTTTTTAACTTTTTTTTTTTTACTTGATGTTTGACAGTTTTTCTCTTCAAGTCCATTAGCATGCGACCTCTTGGGTTTGCCCGTTGTAAACAAAGACGAGGATGTCCCGATTCAATTCCATGATGCAAAGAAGTATGTAATGTTTCCCCTTTTGTGATTTTTACATGTGATTTATGCAAAAGACGTGAATGCCCTCCCTCAACCTCTTTGTCAAAAAAATAGCCATAGAAATCTTGTCCGGTCGTGGGATGGGACTCGACAAGCTTTCTAGGGCTACGTTGAGGGCGTTTACGTCTTTTGTGCAGACGAGAGATCGAGAGCAAGTCTCTGTGGGTCCCACCTTTCAGGGTGGGACAAAAAATTCAAAATTCAAAATTTTTTTTTTTGTGTATTTTTTTTCAAAGGAATAGAACTCTAAAAATCAAGCAACGAACAAGGATAGCTCGGAAGGGTCACGCAAGAAACGTTTCCATTTCTGAACTCTCGACCGAATATTCCGAATCATCTAAAGAGGTATCTGTGTATATCTATATCTGTGTCTATATTTATATATCTCTTATAGAAGAGGATACCGTTTTCATGTGATTCAAGATAAATGTTAATTTGACTTTTTTAATGCATTAAACCATGTTATCTAACTTATGGTGTTAAACCAAAAAAATATACAAAGAATATATTTAAAATAATTTAAAAAATTTAATTATGGTCTTGTATGTAAAACCTAAATCGAATTATCAATGATTAGAAATTTTCTAAATAAGTAATTTATAGATTTATTAACAATAACAATCGTTAAAAAAAAATTGAAATCCAAATTTACATAAAATTAATAATGACGTACCATTGAAGACAAATGGTTGATATTTGAAGCAGCCATCATGCCTGGAATTAAAAATTGACGAAAGAAATGAATTAATTATAGTTAAATTTAAAAGTAGAATTAAATCGAAAATGATACACACTGTTACTCACGCAATACACGGGTACTACCCATTGAGATCATGTGGTTTATTTTAAACCATATAAATATTAATTTTATTTTGTGAATCGCAATCAATCAACTATCAGCTTTTCAACTTCCAACCTTGACTTTTCTCTAAACATATATATAGTTAAGATAAGGACAATGTTTTGTACAAACTTTTTAATTTACTATAACAATTATTAATTTTACGGCTAGAACAGGTTCCAAAAGATTTGTGAGAACTTACGAGTTCATATGGACTGCGGATGTGCACAATCAACAACCATATGGACTGCTGATGAGCAATCAGTAGTCCATATTCCTGCTGATTGTGCTCATCAGCAGTCATACAAAAAAAGCAGCAAAAAAAAAAAAATCGTCAACTTTTTTTTTTGAGCCTAGATATGGCTTAGACGTACAATTTGGAGAAGATTGATGTTTTTGGTGTTGAAAAATGATGAGTTGATTATGAGTTCGCAAGTTCAGATGTTTTTTTTAGTTCTCACAATAACTCAGCCCTTTACGGTTAATAACAATTACTTAGTTACATATATTTGTTAATATCTTAACTACCTAATTTTACTCCTGTCCAACACAACACAACAAACATTCACATAGAACGACATGTAACACACTCTTCTTTCCTTAAAGTAGACTTCTTAGGTCAAACAAACCAATTCGAAAATCCAAGATCAATATGAAATTTTCTAAAATTTCCAACTTATTTTTAATAATCAAGTTTCATAACATTTTGTCCTTTCAATACGCAGCAGGAGAAACATATCGACAAAAACTCGGTAAGCCAAGAACAAGAAACAGGTCAAAGCACAAGTAGCAACACATCAAGCAAGATAACAAACTTAACAATGGGACCCTCCCCACCATTTACTTTAGCATTCGATTCAAATCCACCCAATAATCGGGCAGCAAGAACCGAAGCTCACCCAAATGCTTTAAAAAATATAAAAAATTTCCCGCTTCTACTCGCATCCATCACACAAACCGTTAATAATATGGAAGAGAATCGAAATGGTCTCAATCGTCGATCCATGTCTAATGTCGATTTTCGACATTTGGATATTGAGAAGATATCGAAACTCTTTAATTTAGATGATCATTAGGGTTTTTTGTGGGATAATTCTTTTCTATTTTTTGTGTTGTGGTACTTTATATATGTTTTTCTTGGGTTTGTTTTATAAATGAACTATAAAACCAATAAACCAAATTATTGTTCATGTGATTAAGTGGTTTTTTTTTTTTTTTTTTTCTATGTAAAATTGTTATATGATTGTATCTTTGGTAAATTTTCTTTATAACATAAAACACACACTATCGGGCCAGTCCAAAGTCGGGGCCCGGTCGACACAGGTCCAAAAAAGGCCAAGTCCGGCCAACCCGGGTTTGAAACATTGGAGTGATAATGAACTGGTTAAAGGCTTTATTTGGTCTGTTTTATCCATCTTGTCCGATTAATTTAAAATAAACGGTTTGAATTTATTAATGTTATAAATTACAATTAATATATTGTTTATATTTACGATTATAAATCTGATAGTCCTGCATAAGTGGCGTAGTTGTAAGAAGGTGACAAGTTATTCATGCATATCATTTTTTTTTGTTTGGTGGAAATTGTGATTTATCTTTACTAATTTGAGATGAGGACCTTAAAGTCGCACGATAAATTTACAAACGTAAAACTTTAGTACTTAAAAAAAAACGGAATAGATAGAATTATAAAAGTTTCAATAATTGCATTGTAAAAAAAGATTCCAAACCTATCCGATAAAAAAGTGGTCCGGTTTTTGTCGAACCCGATTCAAGAAACCCATTGATAAAGCTAGGTTGAGGAGTAGTCCTATATCAAAAATTGCAAACAGTTCGGATACGACTCGAGTGATCCGATCATATTACCACTTGACCCGGTCCAAAAAAGCTTGGAAAAACCGCTCTATTTGTGCAACTTTAGATTGTAATTTGACGATTTGATTACAATCCATGGATTGCAAAACAAATTATCATTAATGTAAACAAACGGATGGCGTAAGTTCTCATCCTCGATGTTTATTCATCTTAAGATAAAGTTTCCCGAGTTTTAAAAACAACCTTAAATCTACACAAACCAACATTAAGTGACATAAAAGAGAAAAATCCCGAAAAACACACACAAAAAAAAAAAAAAAAAACCCAAACACATATATGTACACACACGAGATTAAAATCAACAACTTCAAGAACCATAATTATCAGAAAATTTGTTCTTGATCCACTTGAAGCTATTCCTTAAAGAAGACTTGAGTTTTCCTTCCATGGTGTACATATTATATGAAGCCACTCTTTTCCTTCTCTTCACTTCGGGGTTTTCTCGGTCTCCGGGCCCATTGAAGCTAAACGACTTGTCTCGATCCTCAAACGCGAACCGGGCTTCAACATATGGAGTCGAGTAATTTGGAAATGATTTACTTTTCTCCATTTTTATGTGATCAAATAAGAGCTTCAAAGGGTTTAAGGAGCTGAAGAAGACCTTAACTTGAGCCACTTGTGTGTGTTTTGTTCGTGTGTGGCTCTATATATAGGACCAGTATACAAAATAATAATAGCCAACAATAAATGAAACAACTAGTTTTTTTTTCCAATTTAGTTTTAAATAATTAGATATCTAAAAATAACTTATTATCTACTGATTTGATAATTATGATATTTTATTTATTATTATATTATTAAATTAAGAAAAATTTATCTAATTATAATAATATTATCAAAATTTTTCATACTTATAACTTGAACAAACTTTTAAAAATAGAAAACTGTAGTAAAAAATAAAAATGCAATATTATAATCAGACAGATTTTACAAAATATTATTTTCTGAAACGAAAAAATTGCAAACCTAATATTTTAACGAAAAAAGCAAGTTATTACAATAATCAAATAAATAATACCATGTTGTTATTTTTTTGGTTTTAGTCCTAAATATTTAATTGACAGCTTTAATTAAAAACAAATATCAACTTATGTGGTTCTTTTTGGGAATAATTTAACCGTATTAAAATATACAAGAGGTATCATTAATTAACAATTATATTATTTAAATAGTATAAAAATAAATAATTATAATATAAAAATACATGGCAACTAAAGTCAAACAACTGCTACTACCTATTTCCTCCAAAAAAGAGTACAATATTTGGATTTAGATTAATGTATACTCAAGTATGTTTTTTAAATAATGATCAAGTACATGATATGTCTTTAACTAACTAGACAAATTGCAATAATATTTAGGTAACTGTCAATCTCACCCAAAAATATTTTTCTAATAATTGTTTGTGGGGAAATAGGTAGATTTTGTAACGAACAATAAATATAATATTTTGGACAATATAATATAAAAATCTATATTTTATAAATCACTATTAATAAATTAATAAATAAAAGATAAAAACTTCATATATGAAGATAAATTTCGTATTAAGAGGATGTTTTAGAAATTCATGATGATATATGTGAAGGAAAGCACCAAATGCATAGACACTAAATAAAGAAGTGAAGGGACCATGGTTGGGTGAGTGAATGGGACCATCGGGAGTGACTTTGATCTTGACAGGGAAAGATCCGAAAGGGGATCCATAGATAATGGTTGAATGATGTATGATTTGGATTCCATTATTGCCATTCCATTTTTAATTTATTTGACCTTTTTATAGGATAACCATAAAAGTGGCGACTTTTTAATGTAATATATAACCTATAATAGAGTTTTATAAAGAGGCAACGTGGTTATCAATTTGGAATTAATTAAATAGTTTATGGTTGTAAAATATATACAAAACTGCAAAAATGTTTTTGTGGTATGTATTTTTTTTATTGGATTTTGGTGTAAACCTCGATTTTTTTTTGGATTTTTGGTCATTTTGAGCTAGTTTCTTTGCGTATTTGGTCCCTCCGAATATTGAAATTACTGTAATACCATTGGAGAATTTATATTCCATTTTTTTTTTCATTTTTTTAATTTAAAAATAAGAAGGGACCCACCTCTTTTCTCTCTCTCTCTCTCTTGGATTTCTTATGAACATCATGAAAACCCTTTGAGTTTGTGAAATCCCAGATGTGTTCTTAAACATACATCAGGACCAAAAATGATTTTTTGTTCCTGGTTCTTGTGTTCTTCGATCTTTGGATTTGGTCTTGAAAAATGATTTCATGTTCTTGGTTCTTGTGTTCTTCAATCTTCAAACTCCAGTTTTGATCCAACTTGACTTCAGATTGAAGTTCATGTGTTTGTGTATGAACTCAATTTTAGATTTTATTTAATATATCTTACACTCACATTCGATTTTATAGTCAAGTATAGGTGTGTATTTGTGTGTGTTAGACCTAGATTTCAATAACAAACCCATATCCGATCTTCATCGTGTCATCAAAATTCAAGTATGATCTTCATTTTGTTCATCAAAGCCCAAGTCAGATCTCCAACTTAATGTATGATGATTTAATGTTTTGAACATCAAAACTCACAAAACAAAACCTTACAAATGATTTTTAGACCCAAGAACACGGAACTAAGAACACATATCTAAAACAATTCCTAAACATGAAAATCGAACATGGAAAACCCATATGACATTTGGAAAATTTCCTGAACATGAAAATAAAACCTGGAAAGCCCGTACAAAAACTCCACAATCAATTTATGGGTTCTTCAATAACATGAACACTTTTTTTTGGGTGTAGTTGGTTTATAAGTTCTTGCATTCTTAAGCACACACACATTAAATCCTTGAAGAAAGTAAGAAAGAAACCGTTTGAAGTCCAGAGAGAGAGAGAGAGAGAGAGAGAGAGAGAGAGAGAGAGAGAGAGAGAGAGGTCTAAAACCAAAGATGAAATCTGGAGTTAAGTTATAGAGCAAAATCGGAGAAGCACATGCTGGTAATCTTTTCATCCATATTCAACAATGGAAAACCCTTTGTTCGTATTTAGGGTTCTAAGTTCTAAGTTCTAACCATTCCAGATTGCATCTTTTGGTCCAATAAATGAGTATAATCAAACATGTTAGGACGGTTGTAGGTATGGAAAGAGACGAATCTAGGCGAAGAAGATGGTGGTGGTAATGAATTGCTTTTTATTGAGGAAGGTTAGAAGGGTACAAACATGTGTTCGGTGTTCATATACCTGAAGAGAGAGAGAGAGAGAGAGAGGTAGGTGGGCACCCTCTTAGTTTTTAATTAGTAAAATAAATAAATAAGTAGTAGATTTTAAAAAAAATAAAAAATAAATTCTCCAAGGGTATTACTGTAATTTTAATATTCGGAGATACCAAATACACAACGAAACTAGCTCAAAAGGACCATCAATTCAAAAAAGTCAAGATTTGAACAAAAACCCGAAAAAAATACATACCACATTGACCATTTTTATAGTTGTGTCTAAAAAATATTAAAGGAAAAGTTGCAACATGATTCGTAGGAACTTTAGAATAGGTTACAGTACGGTGAGACATTATTTATAATAGATGAGTTTTTAATTATATGTAAGAAGTTACTTTTGTATTATAAAAACAAATACGTAAAAAGACGCATTGTTATATATTTTTACAACTTTTCACATGCAAGAAAATGAATGCATAAAAAGAATTATAACTTCTTTTTGTAAAAACGAAAAAATCTTGTAAAACATACATAAAAACTTGTAAAAAATATTTCTTTCAAATCAAATTTGTAAAAAACTAAAATTGTAAAATAAGATGTAGAAGACAACGTAAAAGAGTGTAACGTTCCAAAAATAAGACCATAAAATATTTCGTTTTTAGATTAATAAAACATCAAACCATATCATTGTCATAAAACCAAGGTTATCAAAATGTATTGATACATCATCAACATCAGAGTAAATCACAAAATGCAGAAACATGTGGTGTGTGCTCTGCAATCATCCCAAACTCTTCCCTTTGAAAACAGAAGTACCTGAAACATAAACTGAAAACCGTAGCCCAACGCTCAGTGAGTTCCTCAAAATACCACATAACATACATACAATTGCCATGGCTACCCCCGTGGTCTTTTCCTTGAAACGCCATGGGCTACTGTCACAACTCGAAATTTTAAACCTTGTAAAGTCCAAACCCTAACCTAGCACAAATGAATCTACATTGCAACCCTTGTTGCATTGTATCCTCTATAGCCTTTAGAGCTTGTTTATAAGGTTACAACTAAGCATGGTATGTAAACTAAGTAATTTAGG